AATTTAGTGACAAAAATCATCAATTTTTGATATTTTGGTGATTTTTGTTTTATACCTACAATAATATAATAGCTATACATGAGATGATTATGGATTACGCTTTCTAGGATCATTACGAATAATTTTCATGCATAACGTATTTTTCCATCGATTTTAGATTTTGAGATACACTCATTTTAGTAAAAAATCCTCTATTTTGATATGTTGGTGATTTTTGTTTTATACCTAGAATAATATCATAGCTACACATGATATGATTATGGATTATGCTTTTTATGATCATTATGAATAATTTTTATGCACAACTTATTTTTCCATCGATTTTAGATTTTGAGTTATAAATATTTTAGTGACCAAAATCATCAATTTTTGATATTTTGGTGATTTTTGTTTTAAATCTGAAATAATATCATAGCTAAACATCAAATGATTATGGATTATACTTGTGAGGTTCATTACGAATAATTTTTTTGTACAACGCACTTTTCCATCGACTTTAGATGTTGAGTTACAAAAAATTTAGTGGCAAAAATCAACAATTTTTGATTTTTTGGTGATTTTTGTTTTATACCTACAATAATATAATACCTAGACACGAAATGATTATGGATATCGCTTTCTAGGATCATTACAAATAATTTTTATGCATAACGTATTTTACCATCGATGTTAGATTTTGAGATACACTCATTTTAGTAAAAAATCCTCTATTTTGATATGTTGGTGATTTTTGTTTTATACCTAGAATAATATCATAGCTACACATGATATGATTATGGATTATGCCTTTTATGATCATTATGAATAATTTTTATGCACAACTTATTTTTCCATCGATTTTAGATTTTGAGTTATAAATATTTTAGTGACCAAAATCATCAATTTTTGATATTTTGGTGATTTTTGTTTTAAATCTGGAATAATATCATAGCTAAACATCAAATGATTATGGATTATACTTGTGAGGTTCATTACGAATAATTTTTATGTACAACACAGTTTTCCATCGACTTTAGATATTGAGTTACAAATAATTTAGTGACAAAAATCAACAATTTTTGATTTTTTGGTGATTTTTGTTTTATACCTACAATAATATAATACCTAGACACGAGATGATTATGGATTACGCTTTCTAGGATCATTACGAATACTTTTCATGCATAACGTATTTTTCCATCGATTTTAGATTTTGAGATACACTCATTTTAGTAAAAAATCTTCTATTTTGATATTTTGGTGATTTTTGTTTTATACCTAGAATAATATCATAGCTACACATGATATGATTATGGATTATGCTTTCTATGATCATTATGAATACTTTTTATGCACAACTTATTTTTCCATCGATTTTAGATTTTGAGTTATAAACATTTTAGTGACCAAAATCAACAATTTTTGATATTTTGGTGATTTTTGTTTTAAATCTGGAATAATATCATAGCTAAACATCAAATGATTATGGATTATACTTGTGAGGTTCATTACGAATAATTTTTATGTACAACGCAGTTTTCCATCGACTTTAGATATTGAAATAATTTTTATGCACAACTTATTTTTCCATCGATTTTAGATTTTGAGTTATAAACATTTTAGTGACCAAAATCATCAATTTTTGATATTATGGTGATTTTTGTTTTAAATCTGGAATAATATCATAGCTAAACATCAAATGATTATGGATTATACTTGTGAGGTTCCTTACGAATAATTTTTATGTACAACGCAGTTTTCCATCGACTTTAGATATTGAGTTACAAATAATTTATTGACAAAAATCATCAATTTTTGATTTTTTGGTGATTTTTGTTTTATACCTACAATAATATAATAGCTATACATGAGATGATTATGGATTTCGCTTTCTAGGATCATTACGAATAATGCATAACGTATTTTTCCATCGATTTTAGATTTTGAGATACACAAAATCATCAATTTTTGATATTTTGGTGATTTTTGTTTTAAATCTGGAATAATATCATAGCTAAACATCAAATGATTATGGATTATACTTGTGAGATTCATTACGAATAATTTTCATGCACAACTTATTTTTCCATCGATTTTACATTTTGAGTTATAAATATTTTAGTGACCAAAATCATCAATTTTTGATATTTTGGTGATTTTTGTTTTAAATCTGGAATAATATCTTAGCTAAACATCAAATGATTATGAATTATACTTGTGAGGTTCATTACAAATAATTTTTATGTACAACGCAGTTTTCCATCGACTTTAGATATTGAGTTCCAAATAATTTAGAGACGAAAATCATCCAGTTTTGATATGTTGGTGATTTTTGTTTTATATCTAGAATAATATCATAGCTACACATGATATGATTATGGATTATGCTTTTTATGATCATTATGAATAATTTTTATGCACAACTTATTCTTCCATCGATTTTAGATTTTGAGTTATAAATGTTTTAGTGACCAAAATCATCAATTTTTGATATTTTGGTGATTTTTGTTTTAAATCTGGAATGATATCATAGCTAAACATCAAATGATTATGGATTATACTTGTGAGGTTCATTACGAATAATTTTTATGTACAACGCAGTTTTCCATCGACTTTAGATATTGAGTTACAAATAATTTAGTGATAAAAATCATCAATTTTTGATTTTTTGGTGATTTTTGTTTTATACCTACAATAATATAATAGCTATACATGAGATGATTATGGATTACGCTTTCTATGATCATTACGAATAATTTTCATGTATAACGTATTTTTCCATCGATTTTAGATTTTGAGATACACTCATTTTAGTAAAAAATCCTCTCTTTTGATATTTTGGTGATTTTTGTTTTATACCTAGAATAATATCATAGCTACACATGATATGATTATTGATTATACTTTCTATGATCATTATGAATAATTTTTATGTACAACTTATTTTTCCATCGATTTTAGATTTTGAGTTATAAATATTTTAGTGACCAAAATCATCAATTTTCGATATTTTGGTGATTTTTGTTTGATACCTAGAATAATATCATAGCTTCACATGATATGATTATGGATTATGCTTTTTATGATCATTATGAATAATTTTTAGGCACAACTTATTTTTCCATCGATTTTAGATTTTGAATTATAAATATTTTAGTGACTAAAATCATCAATTTTTGATATTTTGGTGATTTTTGTTTTAAATCTGAAATAATATCATAGCTAAACATCAAATGATTATGGATTATACTTGCGAGGTTCATTACGAATCATTTTTATGTACAACGCAGCTTTCCATCAACTTTAGATATTGAGTTACAAATAATTTATTGACAAAAATCAACAATTTTTGATTTTTTGGTGATTTTTGTTTTATACCTACAATAATATAATACCTAGACACGAGATGATTATGGATTACGCTTTCTAGGATCATTACGAATACTTTTTATGCATAACGTATTTTTCCATCGATTTTAGATTTTGAAATACACTCATTTTAGCAAAAAATCCTCTATTTTGATATCTTGGTGATTTTTGTTTTATACCTAGAATAATATCATAGCTACACATGATATGATTATGGATTATGCTTTCTATGATCATTATGAATAATTTTTATGCACAACTTATTTTTCCATCGATTTTAGATTTTGAGTTATAAATATTTTAGTGACCAAAATCATCAATTTTTGATATTTTGGTGATTTTTGTTTTAAATCTGGAATAATATCATAGCTAAACATCAAATGATTATGGATTATACTTGTGAGGTTTATTACGAATAATTTTTATGTACAACGCAGTTTTTCATCGACTTTAGATATTGAGTTACAAATAATTTAGTGACAAAAATCATCAATTTTTGATTTTTTGGTGATTTTTGTTTTAAATCTGAAATAATATCATAGCTAAACATCAAATGATTATGGATTACGCTTTCTAGGATCATTACGAATAAGTTTCATGTAAAACGTATTTTTCTATCGATTTTAGATTTTGAGATACACTCATTTTAGTAAAAAATCCTCTATTTTGATATGTTGGTGATTTTTGTTTTATACCTAGAATAATATCATAGCTACACATGATATGATTATGGATTATGTTTGTGAGGTTCATTACGGATAATTTTTATGTACAACGCAACTTTCCGTGAATTTTATAATTAATATAAGTTATGATACATCAAATTAGGTTAAAATTTTCTCATTATCTCAAAAATGTTATTAAATCATATAAATTGTCTTAAACGCAAATTTTGTATTATTTTAATATTATTACAATGAAGTGTAAATGAGACATCTTGTCATTCTAAATTTTGTCATCAATTTTGCGATGACAAATGCTGATTTTAAAATAAACCAAATCGACCATCAAAATAAAACTATCTGCAACGTTCCTATTGCTTTTAATGCTACCAAAAATGACTGTTGCAAGAAAAACTAAAAATAACACCACCAAAGACACATTAATTGCAAATCCTGTAAATGATGGCGGTGCGTTTTTGGAGAAAACATGGAAACTTTTTCTTAAAGATTACAAAAACGATCTTGAAGCTCCATGGGCGGGAATCAAGATTCAAAAATTCGGAAAAAAGCGTCATAAACAAGCAAGTTCGGACGTTGCGAAGATTTGGACACCGTGGAGTAAATGGAGCCCGTGTAATGTTAGTTGCGGAGTCGGTGCGATAATCAGATGGAGATATTGTAAATCGGGGGGTTGTGCTAAAGGTGAAAAAGAATCCCAAGCGAAACCTTGCACTATGGAACCTTGTACTTGATTATTTTTTAATTTATAACTTTTATTAGTAAAATTGTACGAAAAGAAGAAAAAACGAAATTCAATATCCTTTCACTTCAATAACTACCGTGTTGCTTCTTCACGGTTCGTTGGTTCGCGGAACGTGCATGCTCGCGGTCTCTGTCAATGTCGAAGAAACTCGCAGGAAGAAAGCAGCTCACCTTTTATTAATAATTAACCCAAATCTAATACAATAAAGAAGAAAGTTTAGTTCTTACCTGCACAACACTTCCAATAGTTAAACCAAACGCCATCGATATTTCTATAATCGACGGTGGTCCATTTATACTCAAAATCGCCCCACAACCAATTAAGACAAGAAGAAAAGTTCCTATGAATTCAGCAAAAAGCATCTTCCATATTTTGATCCCATGAGTTACTTCGGCTAATCCCAAAATTCCTTCAGGTCCTGAAAGAAAACATAAAATCCGTATTAAATTTATACCAAAATTAAATCACTTTAAATGTAGAGTTTATGATAATATTAAACAAGTAATCTTATCTTAATCTTAAAGTATTAAAATTGGTTAAAATAGGTCAACTCTGTGGATTTGGTGAGATTTTGTTGTTTTCTCGGTGTTTATCTGTATTAAATAATTATAGGTGATGATGAAATATTTGATATTGGATTAGTAATAAATCTGTAAATAAAATTACAGGTTTTATTTTATTAAAAAAAATTACTTTCACCGATTTTATTTCCTTCCCAACTACTTCTTCTCCCCCAACAACAATACGTCTCTTTTCTCGGTAATAATCGTATCATAATCATCTTCTTATCCAACCCAGATTCATCATAACTACTTTTTAACCCAGGACAAGGCATACCAAAATTTTCATCGCATCGTATCGATTTTGAAACATATTTCGGTTGAGCAATACGAGTTTTATAAATTGATTGATGAACATAATTAGGAAATCCATGTTTTTTTTTTGCCGAATATTCAACGTTATATTTCCGATGATGACTTACATTAAAATTTTGAAATTGATTCTCTAAAACTTGACAATTTCGATCACAACTTTGTTTCTGAGTTTGCAAAAATTGGTTTTGTTGTATTTGGGCTTGAATGCAAGTCGAATCTTTCGAAGTTTGAAGGGTTTGATTTTTTTGAATCAAACTTTTTTGATTTGTTTGAATACAAGGGTGTAAATTACTTTGTATGCACGTTTGTAAATTACTTTGTATACAAGTACTTTGTAGATTTGATTGAAAATTATTTTGTAAACTAGTTTGACATGGTTGATTGGTTTTGCTATAATGGCAAGTATTTATTTCTGAAATCATCTTAGGAGTAGGTGCAGAACTTTTAATGAATGATTTATTAAAAGCCGAGCAATCAAATGGTTCAAAAACAACTTCATAATCAACTTCTTTCGTTGCTTCATCATAATTTTGTTGTGATTCCGATTCAATCACTTTTACTTCTTCAACTTTATTTAATTCCTCAACACAAGGTTGACAAGCCGCATGAACGAAAGGACTTGTACTATTGACTTCTAAAGAATTTTTTGGGCATATCCTTTGATCTAAACCCTCTAATCGTTTCATCAAAGTACAAGGATTAATCGGATATTTATATTGATTACTAAAATGCGTAATTTCCGACGTGATTTGAGTTTGTTGTTCGTTGGAATTCATTGCAGTTTGATCACCGGCATCTTTTAACATTTCCAATTCAGGGTGTTGGGTCAAAATGGGAATTTGACAAATTGGATGTTGGGTGGCGATTTCGCTGATGTATTGAGAAGTTGATGGTGAATATTTCGTTTTGTTCGTTGCAACATCATGTTTTCTCGAACAAATCGGGAGTTTTACAGCCAATTTCTGATTTAAATTTGAATTTAAAATATTAGTTACTTCCGAATGAAAAGCTGCGAGTTTTTCTTTTCTATGAGGGGAATGGTGCGATATTTTCCGATGATGATGATTTCTTGAAGATTCACTACTACTTTCAGTTCCGGTGGATTCTATATCAACTTTTTTGTGCTTTATTTTCTCGACGATTTTTTCTTGTGACTTATTTTTTTTGGGGCTGTGATGTCTCTTTTTAGATTTTTTCTTTTTGCCTTCGTAAGGGGCGTTTTCCAACGTTGGGATGTCTGTTGAATCGTCTTTCTTTTTTGTGAGAGACTCTTTTTTCTCTAATTTTAATCAGTTTTAATTAATTAATGACATGAAAAGATTTTTTGGGGTTCTTACCTACTTAATTTATTCGGGGAGAGCTTTCTTAGCATAATAATAATTTTATTAAAAATAAAATAATTGTCAAAGATTAATCAGCGATTTATGTCTAACTTCACGTTTGACGAAACATCCTAATAATTGTTATATTAATCAATAATTATTTTATGCTTTTCTGGGTCAGAGAACGTGTTCTAATTTGGTATAACATCACCTCAAAAAGTTTCATTTTTTTTAATCTAAATCGTTTCAAGAAAAAAAATTTTGTTCTTAACCTCAGTTTCAAAGAACGTCAAATAACGATAAGCCAAACCTTATAGTTTTTGCAAAGGACGAAGAGTATATGAGATACATGTTAAATAAACTAGAAGAAGAATACAATAAATGTGGAATGAGAAAACCCAAAAATACAGACAAAGAAAAATATTCTTAAGTGTGGGTGAGAGACAAAGACACAACTCGAAGAATGCTAATAGCAGAAATGATGTTTTGGAGAAGCTGCTGAGTGGTACGACGCAAAATATAGGATGGCTATCCAAAGCAAAACGAGATGCCAGACAAAAATGTATTCAAAGAATCACTAGAATCCACCAAGATCTATGTTATTACGTTTTTATATCTTATCATAAACTGCAATCTTTTAGCTACAATTTAAGATATAAATCGTCTCTTAACTCTCAAAAATGCAATTGGTACGATTTAAAAAAAAAAAATGATTTTGGGTTTATATGTAAATTCAACACTTTCTCACTTAAAAATTTTTTTCGGGAAATTTTTATAATCCTACATCAATGTTTTAATATCTTATCATAAACTGCAATCTTTTAGCTTCAATTTAAGATATAAATCATCTCTTAATTCTCAAAAATGCAATTGGTACGATTTAAAAAAAAATTGATTTTGGGTTTATATGTAAATTCAACACTTTCTCACTTAAACATTTTTTTTCGGGAAATTTTTATAATCCTACATCAATGTTTTTATGTCTCATCATAAACTGCAATCTTTTAGCTTCAATTTAAGATATAAATCGTCTCTTAACTCTCAAAAATGCAATTGGTACGATTTAAAAAAAAATTGATTTGGGTTTATACGTAAATTCAACACTTTTTCACATAAACATTTTTTTCGGGAAATTTTTATAATCCCACATCAACGTTTTTATATCTTATCATAAACTGCAATCTTTTAGCTTCAATTTAAGATATAAATCGTCTCTTAACTCTCAAAAATGCAACTGGTACGATTTAAAAAAAAAATTGATTTTCTGTTTATATGTAATCTCAACACTTTCTCACTTAAACAATTTTTTCGGGAAATTATTATAATCCTTCATTAACGTTTTTATATCTTATCATAATCTACAATCTTTTAGCTTCAATTTAAGATATAAATCGTCTCGTAACTCTCAAAAATGCAATTGGTACGATTTTTAAAAAAAATTGATTTTTCGTTTATATATAAATTTGACACTTCCTCATTTAAACACTTTTTTCGGGAAATTTTTATAATCCTACATGAACGTTTTTATATTTTATCATAAACTGCAATCTTCTAGCTTCAATTTAAGATATAAATCGTCTCTTAACTCTCAAAAATGCAATTGGTACGATCATTAAAAAAAATTGATGTAAATTTGACACTTCCTCATTTAAACATTTTTTTCGGGAAATTTTTATAATCCTACATCAATGTTTTAATATCTTATCATAAACTGCAATCTTTTAGCTTCAATTTAAGATATAAATCGTCTTTTAACTCTCAAAAATGCAATTGGTACGATTTTTAAAAAAAATTGATTTTGGGTTTATATGTAAATTCAACACTTTCTCACTTAAACATTTTTTTCGGGAAATTTTTATAATCCTACATCAACGTTTGTATATCTTATCATAAACTGCAATCTTTTAGCTTCAATTTAAGATATAAATCGTCTCTTAACTCTCAAAAATGCAATTGGTACGATTTTTAAGAGAAATTGATTTTGGGTTTATACGTAAATTCAACACTTTCTCACTTAAACATTTTTTTCGGGAAATTTTTATAATCCTACATCAACATTTTAATATCTTATCATAAACTGCAATCTTTTAGCTTCAATTTAAGATATAAATCGTCTCTTAACTCTCAAAAATGCAATTGGTACGATTTAAAAAAAAAATTGATGTAAATTCAACACTTTCTCAATTAAACATTTTTTTCGGGAAATTTTTATAATCCTACATCAACGTTTTTATATCTTATCATAAACAACAATCCTTTAGCTTCAATTTAAGATATAAATCGTCTCTTAACTCTCAAAAATGCAACTGGTACGATTTAAAAAAAATTGATTTGGGTATATATGTAAATTCAACACTTTCTCACTTAAACATTTTCTTCGGAAAATTTTTATTATCCTATATTAATGTTTTTATATCTTATCATAAACTGCGATCTTTTAGCTTCAATTTAAGATATAAATCGTCTCTTAACACTCAAAAATGTAATTGGTGAGATTTAAAAAAAAAATTGATTTTGGGTTTATATGTAAATTCAACACTTTCTCACTTAGACATTTTTTTCGGGAAATTTTTATAATCCTACATCAACGTTTTTATATCTTATCGTAAACTGCAATCTTTTAGCTTCAATTTAAGATATGAATCGTATTTTAACTCTCAAAAATGCAATTGGTACGATTTTTTAAAAAAAATGATTTTGGGTTTATACGTAAATTCAACACTTTTTCGCTTAAAAATTTTTATAATCCTACATCAACGCTTTTATGTCTTATCATAAACTGCAATCTTTTAGCTTCAATTTAAGACATAAATCGTCTCTTAACTCTCAAAAATGCAATTGGTACGATTTTTAAAAAAAATTGATGTAAATTCAACACTTTCTCAATTAAACATTTTTTTCGGGAAATTTTTATAATCCTACATCAATGTTTTTATATCTTATCATAAACTGCAATCTTTTAGCTTCAATTTAAGATATAAATCGTCTCTTAACTCTCAAAAATGCAATTGGTACGATTTAAAAAAAAATTGATTTTGGGTTTATATGTAAATTCAACACTTTCTCACTTAAACATTTTTTTCGGGAAATTTTTATAATCCTACATCAATGTTTTTATATCTTATCATAAACTGCAATCTTTTAGCTTCAATTTAAGATATAAATCGTCTCTTAACTCTCAAAAATGCAATTGGTACGATTTAAAAAAAAATTGATTTTGGGTTTATATGTAAATTCAACACTTTCTCACTTAAACATTTTTTTCGGGAAATTTTTATAATCCTACATCAATGTTTTTATATCTTATCATAAACTGCAATCTTTTAGCTTCAATTTAAGATATAAATCGTCTCTTAACTCTCAAAAATGCAATTGGTACGATTTAAAAAAAAATTGATTTTGGGTTTATATGTAAATTCAACACTTTCTCACTTAAACATTTTTTTCGGGAAATTTTTATAATCCTACATCAATGTTTTTATATCTTATCATAAACTGCAATCTTTTAGCTTCAATTTAAGATATAAATCGTCTCTTAACTCTCAAAAATGCAATTGGTACGATTTAAAAAAAAATTGATTTTGGGTTTATATGTAAATTCAACACTTTCTCACTTAAACATTTTTTTCGGGAAATTTTTATAATCCTACATCAATGTTTTTATATCTTATCATAAACTGCAATCTTTTAGCTTCAATTTAAGATATAAATCGTCTCTTAACTCTCAAAAATGCAATTGGTACGATTTAAAAAAAAAATGATTTTGGGTTTATATGTAAATTCAACACTTTCTCACTTAAACACTTTTTTCGGGAAATTTTTATAATCCTGCATCAATGTTTTTATGTCGTATCATAAACTGCAATCTTTTAGCTTCAATTTAAGATATAAATCGTCTCTTAACTCTCAAAAATGCAATTGGTATGATTTTTTTTTAAATTGATTCATTTGTAAATCCTTATAAAAAAACGATTTGTTACCAATGTAATGATTTTTAAAAATCTATATAAAATAATGTGGTCATTCTAGAGGCTTATAATTTGATATAAGATAACTTCAAGCATTCCTTTATAATCTCAACAAGTTTAATTTGTAAAATCGAAACAAATTTTTTGTTAGCGTAATAATAATTTTTTGAACATCGAAAACAAAGAATAGTCAAAGTTTAAGGGGCGATAAAAATCTGAATTACAATTTGATATAAACTCTAATTCATTAATTATTATATTAACGGTAATTAATAAAAAAAAATTTTGCGTTTATCTGGGGCATAGAAATCGTTGTATCTATTCACATCGAGTACTTTGGCAAACATTAAAGGTTTATAGACTTCTGTATTACATCAAAAATAAGAATAACAAGATTAGATAAGAATCTTAAAGTTAACAGGCAAGATTAGCTTACTAATTTATGTTTAACATTGTTACTTAGAATTTATAAATTGATCACGTAAAGTTAATCTAATTTTTAAGTCGTAGATCAATCGATTAACCAATCGAATTCTTAACATAATAAAAGAAAAGATTATTATTGCATAATCAAAAACAATAAAATATTTTTTTTAAACAATCAAAACGTTTTAATAAGTTTTCGAGTCAGCACGTTCTTCATTAAAACCGATTTTATTAATTATTTATTACTTTGCGGTTTTGCGCATTAAGTTTTAAGAAACTTATTGATTTCACTTTCAACGTTTGTTATTTTTTTGTTTATAAATTGCAATGGAAAATGTATTAGAAATGCGATTTTAGTAGGAGAATGTATCGTCATTTTTAATTTTAATTTAAATCGAACGTATTATATAAATATTTGATCGGTTTCGAATGATATTTTTAAAGTTTATGAATGCCAAAAGTTTCCTGTATTATTTAAAACGTTTCAATTTGCATAAATCGGCGATTCAAAACCGTTTATCAGCCACGAGTTTAATACAAATTAATTTTTTTTTTGGAACTTTAAAATATTCCTAAATATTTTATTATTGATAATAATAAAAATTTAATTTTAATGAAAACTCACCCTTCTCTTTATCGTTCATCTTGATGATTTAAAAGAAATTTTAATAAAAATTGTTTTCACCAATAACTTTTTTTTTTAATCCACCAAAAAAGGATTTAATTAATTAATTTTTTTTATTACTTTTAAAATAAAACTTAATTCAAATTTTTGTTGTTAACTTTTTCTTTGTTTTTGGGTTTCGACCTGCACCTTTTGGCCAACAAACGATGAATGTCGGTCAGAACGGTCGACGAGTGAATGAATATACGTACACGGAGAATGCGTCCCGAACACAGTTATACAAAACGAGGACCGCGAACGGAGGCCGACCATGGCCTCTACCATAAGCCTTCCACAGGTTGATAACATCTCTTCCATCTCCGACGATTATATAATTCACCAAAACTAGCAGTTTACATGCAATGCTTATTTAGTTATGCATCAGATTGTGTATTTTAGGTTGTAATTGAACCATTATTTTATAACGATTTATTATATATCATTATGAATTTGATCGAAACTGTATAAGTATAAGTTTCACTTTGTATGAAAAAAAAACTACTTCATTTCAAACAACTTCGGTTTCACCATTAGATTAAACTTTATATCTGGAATGATTCTCATAATAATGACGATATTATTATAGTATTCCATATTATTGGTTATCTATATATATTGTTGCATACCAAGACGAGAAGAGAAGCTGCAATAAAAACTTAAACCATTGAATCAAGCTTTCCATAGAGCATGTCCTAAGAGAACAGTGGAGGAGGAACTAGACAAACTAGACTGAATTCTGACTAGACTATGTTTAAAACACACCAATCAGAATTCAAACGTCTGGTACGTCAAAAAAAGCGACAAGCCTAAAGACGATATTGAAAACACAGCTATGACATTCTAAAAAAAATCGATGGCAGTATTTTCAAGGATCCAGAAGAATCATTGCACTTAGTAATGGATGTTCATTTTCCAGGTTCTCTGCAAGATTCAAGATTCCCCAAAGGTAGGAGAGAGCAATATTATTGAGAATAAAATTTGGTACAACTTTTGTTCTAAAAGTTTTTTTGTAACATTCTCCGTTTCGAAAGTGCTACCATAAACTGCTTTTGGAACAACGAAATTCATAAAATTTTCATATTTTCGCATTTTTCTCTATATTGACGCATTTGAGTACAAAAGTGCAAGAGAGCAATATTGTTAAGAATAAAATTTGCAACAAGTTTTGTACCAAAAGTTTTTGTTGTAATATGACCCGTTTCCAAACTTCTACCATTAACAATTTGTGGAACAACGAAATTCATCAAATTTTCATGTTTTCATATTTTTCTGGATATCTATGCATCTAAGAGCAAAAGAGCAAGAGAGCAATATTGCTAAGAATAAAATTAGCTGTAACTTTCATTCCAAAGGTTTTTTAAATACTGGAACAATGAAATTCATCAACTTTTTATATTTTCGTATTTTTCTCGATATTGACGCATCTACGAGCAAAAGTACGAGAGAGCAATATTATTGAGAATAAAATTTGCTACAACTTTTGTTCTAAAAGTTTTTTTGTAATATGCTCCGATTCGAGAGTGCTACCATAAACTGTTTTTGGAACAACGAAATTCATTAAATTTTCATATTTTCGCATTTTTGTCTATATTGACGCATCTGAGTGCAAAAGTGCAAGAGAGCAATATTGTTAAGAATAAAATTTCCAACAACCTTTGTTCCAAAAGGTTTTTTGTAATATGATCCGTTTCCAGACTTCTACCATTAACAATTTGTGGAACAACGAAACTCATCAAATTTTCATGTTTTCCTATTTTTCTCGATATCTATGCATCTGAGAGCAAAAGTGCAAGAGAGCAATATTGCTAAGAATAAAATTAGCTATAACTTTCATTGCAAAAGTTTTTTTATAATATGCTCCGTTAGCCGAGTGCTACCATAAACACTGTGGAACAACGAAATTCATCAACTTTTTATATTTTCGCATTTTTCTCGATATTGACGCATCTGAGAGCAAAAGTGCAAGAGAGCAATATTGCTAAGAATAAAATTAGCTATAACTTTTATTGCAAAAGTTTTTTTATAATATGCTTCGTTACCCCAGTGCTACCATAAACACTGGAACAATGAAATTCATCAACTTTTTATATTTTCGCATTTTTCTCGATATTGACGCATCTGAGTATAAAAGTGCAATAGAGCAATATTGTTGAAAATAAAATTAGCTATAACTTTCATTGCAAAAGTTTTTTTATAATATGCTCCGTTACCCGAGTGCTACCATAAACACTGTGGAAAAACAAAATTCATCAACTTTTTATATTTTCGCATTTTTCTCGATATTGACGCATCTGAACGTAAAAGTGCAAGAGAGCAATATTGTTAAGAATAAAATTTGCTACAACTTTTGTTGTAAAAGCTTGTTTGTTATTTGCTCCGATTCCCCAGAGTTACCATTAACAAGTTAGAATAAACAACGAATTCGTCAAATGTTAACATTTTCGTATTTTTCTCGATATTGACGCATCTGCGAGCAAAAGTACGAGAGAGCAATATTATTGAGAATAAAATTTGCTACAACTTTTGTTCTAAAAGTTTTTTGTAATATGCTCCGATTCGAGAGTGCTACCATAAACTGTTTTTGGAACAACGAAATTTATTAAATTCTCATATTTTCGCATTTTTCTCTATATTGACGCATCTGAGTACAAAAGTGCAAGAGAGCAATATTGTTAAGAATAAAATTTGCAACAACTTTTGTTCCAAAAGTTTTTTTGTAATATGATCCGTTTCCAGACTTCTACCATTAACAATTTGTGGAACAACGAAATTCATCCAATTCTCATGTTTTCATATTTTTCTGGATATCTATGCATCTGAGAGCAAAAGTGCAAGAGAGCAATATTGCTAAGAATAAAATTAGCTATAACTTTCATTGCAAAAGTTTTTTTATAATATGCT